CGGTCCCATGGTGTGTCCCCTGCAGCCTGTTTCACGGCCGTCCTGTATTCCAGGAGGCCAGCATCTTCAGTGTGGGCACCCAGCTGTGATAGCTTGTGGCTTCACAGCCGGATACCCACTGCGCATGTGCGAGTAGCGCTGTGCTTCGTGAATGGTACTGTAGTCTTCTGGGACCTGTCACGTGTGTTCCAAAAGACTACAGGGAGGGAAGGAGGACAGCTTCCGATAGCCTAGGTGATCAAACTGGAAGTGGGTACCTGTCAAATTCAGGTCCCCCGCTCCCCAAAGGTGCCAATCCTTAATGGGGAGAGGCAGAGCAGTCCTTAAAGCGGAACTTCCCCTTTTGGGTGGAGCTCCGCTTTAAGGACCTTTTACGGCCCTGTCCAGCTCTCTTAGAGTAACTGCTTGTCTCCTGGAATCTCCTCCATGCTCTTGACACTGTACTGGGAGACAAAGCAAACCTTCTGGCAATGGCACACATTGATGTGCCATCCTGGAGGAGTTGGACTGCCTGTGCAACCTCTGTAGGGTCCAGGTATCGCCTCATGCTACCAGTAGTGAGACTGACCCTAGCCAAATGCAAAACTAGTGAAAACCAGTCAGAAAAGATGAGTAGGGAAAAAATGTCAGTGGCCTCCACCTGTAAAACCATTCCTGTTTTGGGGGTTGTCTCATTGTTGCCCATCTAGTGCACCTGTATTTCATTTCAGTAACACAAAGCAGCTGAAACTGATTAACAACCCCCTCTGCTACTTACCTGACCAGATCAGTATCAGGAGTTTCATTGACTTGATGCTATACTCTGATTAAAAAGTGTTCCTTTCATTTTTTTGTTGAGCATTGTATGTAAAGTGCTGCTGTAAATTGACGGCGCGATATAAGTACGTGAAATAAATAAAGTCAGGATCAGGAAGGAATTTTTTCCCCTGCAGGAGAAAATTGGATCATGCTTTGCTGGTTTTTTTTTTTTTGCCTTCCTCTGGATCAACTGTGGGTGTAGGATTATAACTTTTTTTTTTTTTTTCTATGGTTGAACTGGATGGACTTTTGTCTTTTTTCAGCCAGACTAACTATGTAATGTCAGCCATAGATGGTTCGAACATCGGCCGATTTTTCGGGCAAAAGAAAAATCAGCCGATTTTTGCACTGTTAGTGGGTTAATTGGTTGGCCGGTTTTCGGGTTTTTTGCAATTTTAGATTATTGGGCATGTTGGCAAATTCGTGGAAAACGGACGATTTTTGCAGCAATGATGGCCAAATCGGCCGATCGATTTAACAATAAAAAATCTGCAAGGGACAGAAGTTTGGCTGTTATATGGGGTGAACTTTATGATTTAGTCGGCCCATTTTTTTAATCGTTGGTGGTAACGTCGGCTTAACGAACGACCGCTTTTTTCAGTTATCGTTCGAAAAATCGACCGATGTTTGACCTGTCTATGGCCTGCATAATGCATAATGCAGGCCATAGATGGGTCGAAAACCATCCGTTTTTAAAAAAAAAAAAAAAAACGAAAAATCAGTCGTTCAATAGGCCGACGTTACCAATGTTTAAAAAAAAAAAATTGGCCGATTTTTGTCCTGTCTACGGCCGGCATTTAATTACTTCTGTCCCTTAGAGAGAGCTCCATTATATTTGACATGAAAAAGTATTGCGGTTGCAACAATGTATCTATTTGTATCCCTTTCGGATACATATGGTTTTATTCGGATACAAATAGATACATTGTTGCAACTGCAATACTTTTTCATGTCAAATATAATAGCAGACTGGAATTCTTCTTTTTCTTCTTCATATTCTATTTCTTCTTTTTCCTCTTCTTATTCATATTCTTTTTTCTTTTTCTTCTTCTTGCCGGTCACTGCTCATGCGCATTTTTTTAAATCGGTAAAAAGATCGGCCGATTTGTCCATCATTGCCGCGAAAATCGGCCGATTTTTTTTTTTCCAACATGACCGACAAAAAAAAGTATTAAAATCACGAAAAATGGCCGACTGATTACCCCATTAACGATCCGAAAATTGGCCGGTTTTCTCCCTGTCTATGGCCTGCATTATGCACAGGCCACAGATGGGTCGTTAATCGTCCAATTTTTCGGCCAGAAAGAAAAATCAGCGCCGATTTTCGTACCGTTAGTGAATTAGTTCGTCAGCCATTTTTCGTGTATTTTGCACTTTCAGATTATCGGTTATGTTGGGAAATTTGCGGCCGATTTGGACGATTTGGCCGATTTTCCCAGCAATGATGGCCAAATCGGACGATTGTTTTAATGATAAAAAATCTGCGCATGAGCTGTGACCTGCAAGGGACAGAAGTTATGGTGTGAACTTTATGATTTAGTCGGACAATTTTTTTAATCGTTGGTGGTAACATCGGTCAAACGAACGACCGATTTTTCGTTTATCGTTTGAAAATCAGCTGATGTTCGACCCGTCTATTGCAGGCCATAGACGGGGAAGAAAATTGTCCGTTTTTTAATGAAAAAAATCGGTCGTTCAATGGGCCGACGTTACCACCAACGATGGCTGGCATTTAATTACTTCTGTCCCTGCAGAGAGCCCCGCTATTATATTTGGCCAGGGGCGGACTGACCATTTGGAAACTCGGGCACTGCCTGAGGGCCCGGGGTCAGTAGGGGGCCCCATGAGATGCCCATGGTACCTTTTTCATAGGCTTTTTTGAGTTTGGGCAAGGACACAGGGGCCCCATGATCCCCTATTGCCCGGGGGCCCCATGAGTTGTCAGTCCGCCCCTGTATTTGACATTAAAAAGTCTTGCAGTTGCAACAATGTATCTATTTCTATTCATTTCGGATACAGATGTTTTTATTCGGACACAAATAGATACATTGTTGCAACCGCAAGAATTTTTAATGTCAAATATAATAGCGGACTGGAATTCTTCTTCTTTCTCTTCTTCTTCTTGCAGGTCACAGCTCATGCGCAGATTTTTTTTATCGGTAAAAAGATCAGCCGATTTGCCCATCATTGCCGTGAAAAAAATCGGACGATCGGGCAAAATCTGCCGATTTGTTTTCTAACTTTACCAATCAAAAAAATCTGACAAAATCCAGACAAACGGACAACCATTTACGTTGTGAAAATCGGCTGATATTTTTTTTTTTCGGCCGAAAAATATGCTGATTTTCGACCCATCTATGGCCTGCATTATGCAGGCCATAGACGGGGAGAAAACCGGGCAAAACGTCATCCAAAAAAAATAATCGGACGATTTTCAGATTGTTAGTGGCTAAATTGGTCGGCCAGTTTTCTTGATTTTGACACATTTTTTTAATCGTTCATGTTGGAAAAAAAACGGCCGATTTTGCCTATTGGCCGATTTTCACAGCAATGATGGCCAAATCGGACGATCTTTTTCCTGATTAAAAAAATGCGCATGAGCCGTGACCAAAGAAAAAGAACATCTGTATCTATTTGTATCCATACAAATATATACAATGTTTGCAACCCACAATACTTAGAAATGTCAAATCTATTAGCGGTGTCCCTGCAGAGATCCGCTATGATATTTGACATTTAAAAGTATAAGGGTTGCAACATTGTATCTATTTGTATCCGAATAGAAACATCTGTATCCGAAATGGATACAAATAGATACAATGTTGCAACTTTTTCTTCTTATTGTTCATATTCCATTTCTTCTTCTTTTAAATGCCATAGATGGGTCGAAAATCGGCCGATTTTTTGGCTAAAAAAAAAAAAAAAAAAATCGTCCAATTTTCGCACCGTTAATGGGTTAATTGGTCGGCCGTTTTTCTGGATTTTGTCAGATTTTTTTGATCGGTAAAGTTGGAAAAAAATCGGCCGATTTTTGCGGCAATGATGGGCAAATCGACCGATCTTTTTACTGATATAAAAAATCAGGAAGAAGAAGAAGAGGAGAAAAAAAGAGAAAGAAGAGAAAGAAGAAGAATTCCAGTCCGCTATTATATTTTATATGAAAAGTCTTGCGGTTGCAACAATGTATCTATTTGTATCCGGAAAAAACCCCATCTGAATCCGAAATGGATACAAATAGATACATTGTTGCAACCGCAAGACTTTTTAATGTTAAATATAATAGCGGGGCTCTCTGCAGGGACAGAAGTAATTAAATACCGGCCATAGACGGGAAAAGAAAATTGGCCGATTTTTTTTACTGTTGGTGGTAACGTCAGCCTATTGAACGACCGATTTTTTTTTGTTTTTCTGTTAAAAAAACAGCCGGTTTTCTCCCAGTCTATGGCCTGCAATAGTGGAGCTCTCTGCAGGGACACCACTATTATATTAATTTCCGGCCAAAGACGGGATGCAAATCAGCCGACTTTTTTTTTACCAATGGTGGTAATGTTGGCTGATTGAACGACCGATTTTTCATTTTTCTAAAAAAAAAAAACGTCGGTTTTCTCCCGTCTATGGCTTGCATAATGCAGGCCATAGACGGGTCAAACATCTGCCGATTTTTCGAACAATAAATGAAAAATCGGTCGTTCGTTCGGCTGACGTTACCACCAATGAATAAAAAAAATCGTCCGACTAAATCATAAAGTTCACCCCATAACCTCTGTCCCTTTCAGGTCACAGCTCATGCGCAGATTTTTTATTGTTAAAACGATCATCCGATTTGGCCATCATTGCCGGGAAAATCAGCCGATCGTCCAAATCGGCTGCAAATTTCCCAACATAACCGATAATCTTAAAGTGCAAAATACACGAAAAACGGCCAACGAACTAATCCACTAACGGTATGAAAATCGGCCGATTTTTCTTTCGGCCGAAAAATCGCCCGATTAACGACCCATCTATGGCCTGCATAAAAGTCCCAGTCCCAGCACTGTTTCCAGTTGGTGAAGTGTCCTTGTAAACACTGATAGGCTCTAGCAGCCGCTTTCCCTTGGAAGGTCCCTCTGGTGGTTGTTTGTGATATTACAGCTCGTTCTAAGGACCTCTCCAAGACAGCACCTCTCCACCTAGCGGTTCTGCTGGGAATAGCAGCGGCGCTCCTCCTCCGTTCCCTGACGTGAACTGGCAGCGCAGCGGATTGTACAAGATGGCGAGCAGAGCGGTGTCCGCGGCTTGGAGTAGGGCGAATAGGATGCAGGCCTGTGGGCCTAGTCTTCTGCTTGCCAGGTGAGAGTGCAATAACTCGGTGTGTCCCCCCCCTACCTCTTGCACTGGATAACAAAGGGCTGCAAGGCTTCATCTTTGTTCCTGTAGGAAGTCCGGTAAAGTCGTGCTGGGCTGTGTGCAGACAGGATTAGAAGAGACGTGTGTGTGTTGTGAGGTGTGTGAGGGACTCTTCCCTCCCTGGCCTGTCCTATACTGAGCTGGTGTATACCGTGAGGCCTGTGTATACCGTGTGCTGTGCTCAAGGTCACCCAGTCCTAGGTATTCATCCTCTCCACACATGGCAGGGATACCTTACCCTGTATGGGAACATCATGGCAAGCCTGCAACATACACCTCATGGGGGGGACATGTATCTAACAATATCGGGTCACACCTTCACACACCATCCGCAAAGCTTTACTCCAGCTGTTGTACACAAAAGAAATGTATTACATTCATCCACATTCATAAAAGGGGAAAAAAAGTGCATTTGTTAGACGTTTGCAGTGTGCAGAGCATTGCAACCAGCATGAGTCCATCATAGGAGCAATGCACAGGATCCTGCAGACTATTCCCCCAGCCCTGGTCTTTCCATAGGTGTGGACCCAACGTGAGAGTCAACACTGGACTACAAATGTGAGAGACTCTCTGCCGTTATAATCGTTTACCTCTTCATGACGGAAGGTAAAACAAACCTTAAAGCGGAGCTCCACCTAAAAGAAGTTCCGCTTTAAGCCTTTGTCCCCCGCTCCTCATTAAGGATTAGCACCTTTGGGGAGCGGGTACCTGAATGTGACAAGTACACGCTTTCACTTCTGCTGTGATTGCCTAGGCGATCAGAAGCGGAAGTTGTCCTCCCTCTCTGTAGTCTTCTTGGACACGTGACAGGTCCCAGAAGACTACGGGGCCATTCACAAAGCGCAGCACTACTTGAGCATGCGCAGTGGGCACCGCAAGCTGTCACAGCCGGGTGCCCACATTAAAGATGCCAGCAAGAGAAGACAGCCAGTGAAACCAGAAAATGTATATTATATAGGGCGCGCTGGTTGGAGCCCAACCTCTGTAGCTGTAAGATAAAGGTGCCAGATGGATATCGGGGATGGATGGATGGATGGGAGCAGTAACACTGAGGCAGCTCTTCTTAGAGTGGAAGCAAGGCTGTAATACAGTAACAAGAAAAAGAGAGGAAGGCTCCTCTAAGTGCAGTATTGACTATTTAGTAAACAATGGATAAATTGCACTTACAAGATAAACAGTTAAAAAGACTCATCGTGTGGTAATTAGATCCAGGTGGGACGTCCAGCAGCAGCAAACTATGCCTATAGGATCAGGAAGTAGAGTCCAGGATGTGCCTGTGGGGGTCTGAAGAAGGAGCCTATTGACCATGCTCCGAAATGTATTACCGCCCCCTTCACCTGCTACATCTGACTCTGCTCTCCAAGCTTCATTTTGATGCAGAGTCAGATGTAGTAGGTGAAGGGGGCGGTAATGCATTTCGGAGCATGTTCAATAGGCTCCTTCTTCAGACCCCCACAGGCACATCCTGGACTCTACTTCCTGATCCTATAGGCATAGATTGCTGCTGGACGTCCCACCTGGATCTAATTACCACACGATGAGTCTTTTTAACCGTTTATCTTGTAAGTGTAATTTATCCATTGTTTACTAAATAAATTGTCAATACTGCACTTAGAGGCGCCTTCCTCTCTTTTTCTTGGCCAGTGAAACTAGTGGTGGTGAGGACACCGCTGGACCAAGGAACAGGTAAGTGTCTGTATTTTAAAAGTCAGAAGATACAGTATTTGTAGCTGCTGACTTTTATTTTTTTTCAGGTGGAACTCCGCTTTAAGGTCCAGTTCACACTACATGCATTTCAGTAGCTTTTTTTCTGCAAAACACACAAATTGGGTTACATGGTTGTCAATGTCATAGTTCACATCAGTGCTTGCAGTTCCAGTTGCAGGTAAAAAGTAGAGCATGCTTTTTTTCTGTACAGAACTGTACTGGAACGGGGTAAAATGCATCAAAGATGCACTGGAACGCACATATACCTATTTAAATTGAAGGGAAAAAATTAACTGGAAAGCACCAAAAACGTGTCAAAAACACATAAAAAATGCCCCGAAACGCGCATGCAGAAACACATCTGGATTGTATTTCTATAGCGTGAACCGACCCTAAAGCTAGGTTCACACCTATGCAGTTTGCGTTTGATCCGTTTCTGCACTGCTTTTTGTGGGTGTATTTTGCATTTTTTGCACATGCGTTTTTTGACACTTGATGCGTTGTGTTCTTCTTTTTTTTTTTTTTTCTTTTGGCAACTTGTTGCTAGGCAGCTTTAAACCGCAAAACATATCAAAAACGCACTATATGCAATTTTGCAGCATCTCCATTGAAGTCTATTGAACCAAAACGTAACGTTTTGCGGTTAAAAAAAAGTCCTTGACCCTTTCCAAAAAATGCACAGGGTAAAAACGCGGAGATGTGAATGTGTCCCATAGGAAATCATGTTAAATGGACTGTAGTGCATTTCTGCGAAATCCAAAACACACATCAAAACGCTTTGGTATGAACCTAGACTAAGGGCCATTTTACACCACAAAAACGCACTCCGCATGCATTCCATTGCTTACAATTCACACCACACTCTGTTCCAGTACAGTTATGTGCAGAAAAAATGCAGTATTAAAAGCATATTCTGCTTTTTGTTTTTTCTGCACTGGGAACAGACTAGAACTAGTGTAAACTAGGGCCATTAGAGTACATAGAAAATACTGTGCATGCATTCTTGATGCAGAAAAAAAACGCACTGGACTGTATCTAGTGTGAACTAGCCCTGAAGGGATTGTAAACCCTCACCTTGTGAAATAACCCACTCAGTTTAAAACAGAAACAAAAGGCAAAATGTGTGTATAGATATAATAAAGATTATAAATACATTTTCCCCTTTTTTTTTTTTTTTTTTTTTTTTTTTTTTTAAGTGGTCACGTTCCCTCTGTTATTAGCAGCATAGAGAGCTGGGAGAGGAGAAACAGCAGAACACTGATCTTCCCAGTGAATAGCTGTGCAGGTGGCGTGTGAGCACAAGTCTGATCGTTGAAGGAGAGCAGACTGTGTTCCCAGAAAACCGGGCCGTTCGTTTTTTTTTTCGATGGGTAACTAGACCGGAAATAGGGAGGTCATAAAAAGGGGCCTTTTTGACTCGGCCAAGCAGGGCTTTTCCCGGGGTTTTTCCCCCGGGTCCCCCGAAAGAAAAAGGCAAACCAAATTTTTCAAAAAATTTTAAAATTTAAAAATTTTTCCCAGAAGGGAGCCCGGGTTTGGGAAGCGGGGGGAAAAAAAAAGGGGAAAACCCTTTTCCCCAAAAGCCTTTTTGGGGGTTGGGGGACAAGCAAGGAGGGGACGTGCCAAAATTTGAAAACTTTTTTTCATATGGTTTTTCCCGCCCCCCCCTCCGTGTATCACATTGTAAGGGTTTTTGTAGGTTTTATTAAATTGGGCCTCCCCTTTTAATGTTTCGGGCTGGGCGAATTAAATTTGGGGCTTTTAAAAAAATAAATTAAAATAATAGTGTGGGGCAGTTTTTAAAAAGGGAATTTTTATTCGGGCTAGGAACACCCGGGAGGGGCAAAAAAAGGAAAGGGAATACAAAAGAGAACAGGAAAACTTTTTTTTTATTTTTCCGTTTTTTAAAAGGGCAGGGCACATATCAGGAAAAATCAGGGGGAGGGCCCCTCTAATCCCTTTCCCGTATTATTTGTTATTGGGAATTTTACTGTTGCCCTTTTTTTTGTAAAATGCTGGCCGAAAATAAATCCCATAGTTTTCAATAATAAAAAAATGTCGGGTTTACATTTCTGGTTTAAAAGTCCCAAACCAATTTTGCCCAACCCTTTGGGCATGGTTTTAAAAACTGATTATTTTTTGCACCTGCTTAGTTTTAAACCAGGTGAAATTTTTTCCTTAGGTTTTTTCAGGCCTGGGTTCACACCTGCCCGGGGTGGTTGATGTCTTTTTCCTGGGGAAAAATTTTTCCTTTTTTTCACAAAACGTATGCACACCCCCCTGCTTTTTGATGCGTTTTTGGTTTGGGGTTTTTCGTTGCTTTTGCAGGAAAAACCCAACAAAAACACAGCAGGGACACAAAAAAAAGGGAAGCAGTTAATTTTTTTATGCGGTTTTTTTTTTTTTTTTTTTCACCTTTCCACTGCATTTGTTGAAGTTCTATGGAACCAAAAAAGCAACCCCGCTGTGGGGAAAAAAAAAAAATTCCCAAACCTTACCCCAAAAAAAGAGCATTGGTGGGGAAAAGGGAAGGGGATGGGAACGGACCCATTTAAAAAACCATGTTAAAAGGACTTGTAAATTTCGTTACTGAAAAACCCCATAGGTGTGAACCAGGGCCCCCGGGACAGAATTGGGGTTTTGTTTGGGGGTAAAATGGATTTTCCTGATTTTTTTTTTTTTTTATTTATTTAAAAATTTTCAAAGGAAGACTTTGGGACAAAATTTGTGAAAAAAAAAATTTTTAAAGTTAGGGGTTTTATTTTTCCTTTTCTATTATATAAATAGGGCCAGTTCCCCCCCAAAAACCCATTTCCAAACCATTTAGATGGGGAAATTTTTGGGGGTTTTTTGTTTTTTGATTGATTCCAGTGTGGTTTTTTTTTAACAATTTTTTTTGTGCATTCCCGGGGTGGTTTTTTCCCCGTTTTGTTTCTGTGTAATGGGGTTTTGTGGATTTTTGATATATTTTTATTTGTTTTGGTGCGTTTTACCGAATTTCCCCGTTCCCCAATTTCAGGAAAAATGTTTTTTTTTTTTTTTTTTTTTTTTTTATGGGACTAGAAAAACCCTGGGGAAACCCGACCCCACGGGTTTTTAACTATACCATTGAAAAAACCCTTAACCCCCCTTTCCATGTTTTTTGATGCGAAACAAAAAGCTACCGGGAAATGCCATGTGGGTTTGCCCCGGACCCCCCAATAAACCCCAAAAAAACCCAAAACCCCCCTTCCCTC